TTTCAGAGAATCTTTCAATTTTTCTAACTATGACCATCACAACCTTAAGAGTCCTTTGATTTTTTTTTTTTATGGGATCTTGGAATTTCCAGTGTGATTTCACTTATGCCACTCTTTATCTCCAGGCCAGTGCCATAAAATTGTCACTTTGTCTCTGTTTTACAGATGAGAATATCAAGGCTCAGAGAACAATAGGACAATTTTTAGTTGGCTTATGAAGTATACTTACTTAAAGTAAAGAAAAAGACAGTGAGGCTTATATGATAGAAATCTGAACGGGGTTCTTAGAAATGATAATGTTTAGCTAAAACTAAACTTACGCACTTCATGAAAACCTTCTCTTTAGGTATGAGAGAAAAAATGAACTCATTCTGTACCTTTCAAAATGTTTTAAAAACTCAGAATATTTCCCAACATAATGGATGATATCATATCAGCCAAGTAAAGCTCAGGAAACAAAGTCATTCTTTTCCACCTCCTTTGACTTTTGTCTGTGTGAACAGGTACCAGGCAGAACACTCCATGAGACAGCTGGTGGAGGCTGACATCAACAGCCTGCACAGGATGCTGGATGAGCTGACCCTGTGCAAGTCCGACCTGGAGTCCCAGGCGGAGTCTCTGAAGGAGGAGCTGTTGCAGCTCAAGCAGAACCATGAGCAGGTAAGAGAGTTCCGTGAAATGAAAGAGGAGAGTGAAACCTGGACTCTTTATACTTACATAGCAATGATTGTAAACCACTTGCTATGCCAGGCTTACAGTGAGCAGTAGGAAGATAAAAAGATGCAATAAGATCCTGGAGTGGGAAGAAACTTTAGATATCGTTGAATCAAACACGCTCATTATAGAGATGAGGAAAGAGATAGGAGGTTTGACTTCTCTGAGCTAACAGTGGACTTTCATATCAATTGTTTTCTATGTTCTAGTGCAATACACTCTCCATTACATTGGACTCTCTATGTAATAGAGTTTATTTATAGACTTCTCTGTGTCTTTTCCTTCCCTTATTCCTTCAGGAAGTCAATGCCCTGAAGAGCCAACTTGGTGAGCGCCTCAATGTGGAGGTGGATGCTGCCCCCAATGTGGACCTGAACCGTGTGCTGAATGAGATGAGGTCTCAGTATGAGGCCCTGGTGGAGAATAACCGCAAGGACGTGGAAGAATGGTTTGCCAAACAGGTGGGCATCTAAGCATGTGGCTACACAGGACTTGAGACCCCTACTTGGCATATGAGGTAGGATCTGACCCTGTCTTCTCCCCTCTGGATATTTCAGACTGAGGAACTGAACAAGCAGGTGGCATCCAGCTCGGAGCAGCTGCAGTCCAGCCAGGCTGAGATCATGGAGCTGAAACGCACTGTTAGCTCCCTGGAGATCGAGCTGCAGGCCCAGCACAACCTGGTGAGTACTGTTCAGATGTCCTGCTGAGAAATGCAAAGCCAGGGAATTCAGTCTCTGGGGTCCCTTCT